TGTACTTCACATCTCGTGCGAGGACGTGTCCCTTTGACGTCGCACTTTCTTCTCGGCCGAGCGAGCTGCACGCGCATCCTCGCGCGTCCCGCAAGGGACAGAGCCGGCCGGATAATTCTCCCGTCGTTCGCGTGACCGCGAACGCGTCACGATCGAAAACGCACCTCACTCGCTCGCTTTCACGATGGCAATTTCGCGAATTGTTGTTCCGTTTACGTCCGCGCGAGCAACCTCCATTTCGGTCGGTCGCTACACATCTCGGCCGCGCCGCGTCTCGTGTGCTTTTCGATCGTCGTAAAAAGTCTCTTTCTCTCTCTTTCTCTCGTGAAAGTCGCAATTATCCTGCTTCGGAAGTGCCGGCTCCTCTCTCGTGACGCGCGCCTCGTTCTCGCGCCTCATCTCGCTCCCGCGCTCGAAACTACGCGTTTTTGTCCTCGCGTGAGCCGTTCGCGCAAAAGCGAGAAGGTTCCTTCCGTTGGAAAGTTCGAGCCTGCTTGACGAGCGCGTTTGTACCACGAAGAAAATAGACGGTCGAAAACGCGACAGAATTTCCCAGGCGTTGTGTCGATGAGAAATGACGGCGCACACGGTACACCGATGCGATCACTCGAGGATCACAAGAAGCTCAGTGTTGATTTCTTCCTCTGGCAAAAGTCTCGTGAGTTTCTCGTAAAAGAGTCTCACGTTCGGAAAATTGGTTTATTAGGAGAAAGGAGCTAGTGTTCCTATTAAAAGCCGTTAGAGACTAAGAAAAGAAGCTTATTTAGATAGACAGGTGTACACAGACTTAGCAGCAGCTCTATTAGTCGTATCCTTCAATAATGCAGATTTTTTTTATTGTACTGACAAATTTCCGAAAAATTGATTAAGAGTTAAATGATTTTTATATTATATTTCACACGACATGTTGTTTTGAGCAAATTCTGACAATTTCTTTCATATTTCTTTCGTATCACTGTTTTACCATTCTATACAGGGTGTCCCGTATCACCTTCACAATCTCTCGTGAGGACGTAGAAACGGATTGAGATGAACACAAAAGTTCCATACCGTTTTGCGACATTCTCAATAATAACCGAGAAATTAATTAAAGCAGATCGGTGAATGATCACGCGCGATATAATAGATGAGCTGCAATGGCACCGTCTGCCGTTGCATATTTATACATTAAGTCAAACTGAACAAAAAAGTCCTCTACCATTTTGCAAATGACCACATAGATTTTTAGATATTAATAAAAGAAAATTTGTGCATTGTGCTACACAATCATGTAATAATTTTCTTTAATTAATATTTAAAAATCTATGTGGTTATTTGCAAAATGGTAGAGGACTTTTTTGTTCAATTTGACTTAATATATAAGTAAGACGGCAGATATATAACGGCAGACGGTGCCACTGCAGCTCATCTACCATATCGTGCGTGATCATTCACCAATCTTCTTTAATTAATTTCTCGGTTATTATTGAGAATATCGCAAAACTGTATGGAACTTTTGTATTCATCTCAATCCGCTCTACGTCCTCACGAGAGACTGTGAAGATGATACGGGCACCCTGTATAATCAGCATGACTGCAGTCACAAGGGACTGAATTCAACGTTGCTGAATTTCGTGATTTAATGTGCTCAAAGCTACTGTGAAGTTTACGTACGTCAGTCTGTCGGGGTCTAGGAAGAAGATTATTGCTTTGATTGAAAATCGATTGAGAACCAAGAGAAACCTGTTTAACACATGATCCCTTTCTTTCATTGTATAAGAGTCTAAAAAAATCTACTCCGAGGAAAGGAGGATCGCTCCTATTGAAAGCGCGCTTTCGACGAAGGCTCGCCAGGTGACGTCAAGAGATATCGGCGTGAAAAAGGGTTAGATCTTGCGGCTCTCGCGTGACGCGCGATCACGTCCGCGCGCGGTCGGAAGTGCGGCGCGTTTTCGCGGGGAAACGCGAAAGTGCGCGAAGAGGCGCGCCGCGCGTAAAATCGCGATCTGTCGCGCGCGATAGGCGGCCGCCACCGTTGCGCAACGTCGCCGGTAAATTCTTCCGAGATGACAGTGCCGCATTATCTGATAGGTGGCGAGGGGGCAGCGACCGGTTCCCCGTCCGCTCTTTTCAACGCCGCGAGCCGGCGCGCGTATAAGTCAGCCTTAATTGTTTGACGCAACGGCGCAACGCGATCTATCTATCCCCGGATCCGGGCAACCCTTCAAGGGGACCTCCCCAGCCATTTAGCGAGATCGGCGCGATCGATAATCGACATAATCGACGACGTATGCGCGCGCCAGTCACTGCGATATCGCGGAATCGCGCAAACCGCCGGAAGGGATGGTCGAGTTTTTTTAATTCATCGATGGATCCATCGCATGATGCAGCGTTTCGCTGCATTTATGCATCATGCGATAGATTCATCGATGAATTAAAAAACTCGCCCGATATCTCGCGTGTTAAAGGCCACAATTCAACTGTACGCGGAGAAGATATTGTAGTAAAATTTACTTATCGTTTTATATTTTAATGTTCCTTGCAAAATTATACCGACATTGTTAACAGTTAATTGAAATAACTTACTGCAAATAGTAAAATTGACAGTCTACATGACATACAAATAATTAAAATAATTCTGTAATAATAAAGTCAAACGCGCATAATACTTTTAGACAAGTACAAATGTCGGTCATAATTCTGTATAGTCCGCGATTGCAAAAAATGTCTGTAATCTAGAACTTTACCGAGTTTCGACGTAACTGAATGTTTGGACGAATGTTTTCGGCCCGAGCAGGGATATTATTTCTTGTCAGTTTTTCGTCTGATCCCTATTCGGTTACACGAACTGAGATTTATAGGTGGCCGTGGATGAGCGTTGTTTACGGAACCGCGGGATTCCCGTCAGGTCGTTAAAAATCGGAGTCATTAATATTCGTCTGCTTAACTCGACCCGAGTTGATCCCCAAAGTGATATCGGCTTTCTCGCTCAGCCGCGAACAGCGAGCTGTTCTGCTCAACATCCCGAAACTTGCTCTCGTTACGTCCTGTCACGCGACCTTTCACCGTTCGTTTATTCGCGCGCGAGAAGAGTCAATTTTTCGCCGCAGTCAGATCCCGCTTCCGGTACCAACGGCCGGCCCCGATGATCGGTGCGGTGCAACGGCAGCTGCTGCAGGATGCAACGGCGCGGCAGCGCGTAGATCGCGAGTCCCCGCGGCGCGACAAATGGAGCATTAAACGCGATAAACGCAAAGTCGGTACGCGAAAATAGCGGCCATCTATCTAGAAGCGCTCGAATGCGAGATCGCGCCTTCGGTCCTCTCCCCCTCCCCGCACTGGCTCGATTTATGACGTCGATTTACAATTCGCGCGACCTTTGGCAAAGGCGACTCATTCGCCTCTCTCTCCTTCTTTCTTTCTTTCTTTTTCTACGTCTCTCTTTCTCCCTCTCCTCTTCTTTCTTCGTCGTCGTCGGCTCGTCGTCGTTGTGCACACCCCTTAAAGAAATCGCACGAGCGATAAATCGACGGAGAGTCCCGCAGCCGTCGAAAGATATCGCCCAATTAAGGAAACACGTCTTATATCCGCGTCACGACGTTCTTTACCTTTGACGACGCCGTTTACCGTCAGGCAAACCCGAGTTGAACTCGCATACTCTTGAAATCATATTTTCTCATATAGTTAATTCACGATAATTTATTAAGACTCAGCCTCTTTAATGCTATCGCGATCGCATCTCGATTTTACCGATCGGATTTTACGGAGGATCAATGGGATTTCGTACGTTTCGGAAGGAAACTATCGTACTTGAACGCTAGATCGAAGCTGAGAATTTCTCCACGTGTATGCGACGTTTGTACTTCGTCGAATTTGTTTCTGCTTCCAACATCTTTAGCCTTGCTTTAGTTAATCTTTTAGATCTTAGGTTAAGTCTTCTCAAGACGGTTTTTCATTCTAAACCGTTACATTTCGTGTTCTTGCAATTTACCGATATTGGCGCTTTTTGTTCTTTAATCTCCGAGCTATCTTGTACATTTTACGTAATTCCCACGCGAAGTTAAAGCGAAGAGAACGTTCGCGCCGGTTACGCGTTCGTCGCATTAGAACGGTCAGGGTCGAATCAAGTCCCTTAACATTGATAGATAGAAGAAGCCGTGGCTCGTCCGCGAAAAAGAGAAAAAGAGAGAGAAACTAGTGGATGGAATCGAGGATCCGAAAAGCAAGATAACAAAAAATGAGGGACGCTCTCCGATCCCTCGAGCGGAGAGAGCCCTGGTGCGGTGGAGGGAACAGGAAGGGGGAGAGGGCGAGCAGTAAAATATGATAGCGGGATTCGCGAAATATGAGACCGAGACGACGGGATCCGTTGCCGCGGGCCCGTGTGGGCCCCTGTGGGCCCTCGTGCGGGCACAAAGGCTTATCTTGTCCCTCGGCTTACTCCGCCATTTTAGTACTCCACCTCCGCCTGCTCGTCCTTCGTCCTGCACCTCTGCGTTCATCTCTTCTCTTTGTCTCTCTTTTTCTTTCTCTCTCTCTTTCTCGAGTTTTTCGCCTCTTCTTGCTTCGACCCTTCGTCGAGCCGCACGTCGTGCCTTCCCTCTTTTCTTGTCGGGACCTGCTGTCCCGTAAAAGGATCCGCTAAATAGCGCTAAGAGGTTCGAGGAAAGAGGATACTTGGGCATTCAGGATTTTGCACGACGGACCCGCAGCGCATCGGTCCCGCGTGTATATCCGGCCTTTGTAATTGTCGTCTGCGTGGCGGCTCCGTCTCTGTTTCAAGTAATGAGAGAAGCCTTCCTCCCCCAAGCGTAAGCGCGGAAATTGGGTCGGAATCGCGATCGTGGCCATTCCCTTG